AATTTTTTTAAGTATAATTTAAACCTAATGAACACTATAAAAAATGGTATACCATCAGCTTCACAGAAGTTGTCTGAAGAATCATCATGCTTGGTCCACTGAAGCACAGCCTTCTGCGTTTCTTCACTTAAAACAAAGAAAATAAATAGTGTTATTCTTTTTTCAGGTTAATATGTGACACAAAAGAAGCAAAGTACCGCTAAAAAAATACTAGCGAGGTGTGGTGGCGCACACGTGTAATCACAGCACTCAGGAAGCTGAGGTGGAGGGTCGCAGTGAGTTCAAGACCAGCCTGGTCTACAAAGTGAGTTCAAGGCCAGCCTGAACTGCATAGTGAGACCCTGTCTCAAAGACAAAAAGAAAAAAAGAAAAAAAACCACACCTCAGTGATTCATCCACTGCGCCAAGTCGTTCAGCTTGTTCACATTCTTCAATGAGATTATTGGCTTCTTCAGAATACTAAAATGAAAAGGAAAGTAAATTCAGTACCTCTTATTATACTCTTAAAGCTTTAAAAAAGAATTTAGAAGAATATAGAATTTAGAAGTTACCACTATGGCTTCAAAAATTTTAAAAATTCTTACATTCCTCTTGAAGCTGAAAAATAAGCTGAGGCCTTGCCTCTTGTCCTGGTTAAACACGACTTAGTATTACGCTCACAAAATACAGAATATAGTTCTGAAAACTCGTTAGTACAATGTCCGTGAAGGAAATATTTGAAGTATGAAGAAGTCACAGAGTCCATTACCCTGCTTTTCTCTGACCTGTGAGCACTGGCAATGCCCTGCTTTCTAAACCCTGCACCACCCGTAACATCACCAGCACTAAGGCTTGGCTTTAGATGTTCCAGACATGACTTCATGGTTCAATATTCTCGTCTCCAAAAGCCACGCAGGTTTGTTCTGATAGAACAGGAAAATGTTCACCATACAAAATAAATCTTAATTGCCTAAGGCTCTTAAAATGGCTAATCCTGGTTTTTCAACTCCATTGTATTAGGAAAGGCCTAGTATTAACAGGTACCATCTTCCTGTCAGATGTGAGTTACAGAAGAGTCAGGGGATAAGCTACCTGAGAACTCCATAGTCTTCATGATTTTTATATAAATCTAAAACTGTTACCAAATTAAGTTTGTTTTATAAGGGAGACTAAGAGACACATAAACCAAATTCAATGTATGAAACCTATCTGAATCCTATTTAAAAAAAAAAACAACTATTAAGGTATTTATGGCAAGAGCCAGAGAAACACAATCCCTGACCACAGGCATGTTCTTTTTCTTAAGTATCTTTTTGTTTTAGAGATGTATGTGGTTTGGGTAAAAAATTTTAAACTGATTTATTTGAAATTCACTTTAAAATAGTTGGAAAAATGAAATAGGAGATACAGATAAAGCAATTTTGACCATATAGTAACTGCTGGATAAGGAGTACATATTTTTGGTGTTTTTTCTCTACTTTTATTTTTGATACTTTCTATAACAGAAGGTTAAACAAAAAACAAAAGAATTAGAGCCACTGAAAACAAGTAACTTTCAAGGGGTGTTACCATAAAGGAAAGCAGAGAAATAGAGTAATATGTGGCAGGGGAAATGTTTTTTCTTAAGCTTTTCCTTACGATATAGGGTACATCAGTAAGTACACATACCTTGTAGCTTGCAGATTTAATTCCATCAGGAACTTCATCCTGGAAAAAAAATATACTTTTTTAGTTGAAATTTATTTCATCTTCTGAAAAAATATTTTAAAGTTCATGAAAAAAATTATTGAAGTTTGAAGATTTTTTCAAGCTAAGAATAAATAATTTTAAATGACTTTTTTAGAAATAAGTAAAACTTCAAAAACAGGGTTGGGGTTGTAGTTCAGTAGTACTGTTTGCCTAGCATGCACAAAGCTTGAGGTTCCATCCCCAATGTCACAAAGAAAGCCTAATAAATTAATGAAGTATCATAAGTTAGTAAAAAATAAAAATTCAAAATCAAACTATTTGCTGATCATCTATTACAGCATGGAAAGGTAAAAATAAGTTACTTAGCTATTGTGTTCCTTTTGATGTTCAAATTGTCCCATATCTGGCCACTAGGGGACTCAGTAAGTGCTAACTTAACTCTTAGCACTGTGTCCTTTGATATTACTTCAGGAGTCCTTAGCAGGATTTTCTTTCATTTTCTGTGATGACACAATATTCCAGGTTCATCTCATATATTTCTTGCTTCCCTGCTTCCCTCTTACAATCAATCTTTTTTTTTTTTTTTTTCGGTCTTTTTGAGACAGGGTCCCACTATGCATTTCAGGCTGGCCTCGAACTCCTGAGTGCTGGGATTACAGGCGTGCACCACCACGCCTGGTTGCAATCAACCATCTTTAAAGGAGCTCTAGTTCTTTCCAGAGGAAACTGGAACTGATTTGTGGTTGTGCGGGTCACTTAGTAACTACAGAAACTACTGGTATCCGCCCATCCTTAGCAGGATGCTGAGTAGATAGGGATGTATCAGAACTCAACTGCAGAGCTCCATTCCAAAGCTGGGGAGATTCCCAAAAGGACCTGCACAGATCACTACTTTATTGTGTATGTTCTTTCTCAATGGCTGGACATTTTTCATATAATGCCAAATGTACAGATTAATTTCAGCAGAACTGACATGTTTATAATAGTACTGCTCTATAGTCATCTTTAAACATGTGTCCAATTACCTTACTAAGTCAAATTCCTAGTGAAATAGTAGGTCAAAGGGTCTGTGCCTTTTTAATTTTGTTGATGCATTTGCCAAATATATCCCCAAAAAGACTTAACCACCAGAGTGTTCATTTTTTATTCCCAGAGTGACACTGATATTGCTAATCCACATTAGGCAACGAATAATGAAAGAAGGCGAAAGCATCCTATTTTGATGAATTATACAAAGGGAACAAATGGCCTTTTAGAAAAGATTCCAGCCTTGAAGGGCAAACTGTCGACCTCACTCAAATCTCCCCTGGAATCAGAGTGCACATCAAAGGACATGGTTTTCAAAATATCAAATATAAGGAAGACAATTTCAAATTTCATTGTTTTTCTACCTCCTGCTAGGTTACAGGGCATAATACGAACTAAAAAAAGAAATCAAAGTATTGACCAAAAGGGAACTGGTCTTTTTCCTTCTTGTTCAGCCAATAAGGAACTATCAAAGCAGCAACAGACCATCTGAGCAGAGTGAACTGCGGGTATTAGACTGAGGGAACTGTTCACTGTTCTAGCTGTGATAATGCTCTGTGGTCATGAAGTACTGTCGTTTCTTTTCGATGCACACTGAAGAAAAATCAGTGACATATCAAGATAGCAGTAACACACAATACAAATGCTAAGTATAAAAACTGATCGATTGCAAAAATTCCAAGGGGGCTGGGGATATAGCTTAGTGGCACAGCACCTGCCTTGCAAGCTCAAAGTCCTGAGTTTGATTCCTGGTGCCAAAAAAATTTGCCGGGCGTGGTGGCACACACCTGCAATCCCAGCACTCTGGAGGCTGAGACAGGAGGATTGTCGTCGTGAGTTCGAGACCAGCCTGGGCTACAAAGCAAGCTCAAAGCCAGCCTGAACTGCAAAGCGAGACCCTGTCACAAAAAGACCAAAAAAAAAAAAAAGAAAAAGAAAAAAAATTCCAGGGCCAGGGATATAGCTCAGTGGCACAGCACCTGACTAGCAGCTGCAAAGTCATGAGTTTGATTCCTGGCACACACACACAAACACAAAAAAAAAAGAATTCCAAAGTACCTGAAATGATCTTTAATCATTCTTTGGTTCTGATACCGCCCCCCCCCATTCAGAAGTATCAGAACTGAGCCCAGGCTTACCCCAGGAGGAATAATAATGGCCATTCCCTCACTCTCACTGGAGTGGGGCCTCCAGCCTCCCTCCTCTTTGCTCAGTGTGCACCCCTTAGCACACTCTGAAAGCGGGCAGTGGGCTATCACATCTCGGAATGATCAGTTAGAGCTTCTCTTCTCCACCAAAGCACAAGTCAAGACCAGAGCTAAGCCTGTACATTCAGGTTCTAGAACGTCACAACGTCACAACGTCAGGTTCTATTCACCGTTGAACCAAATTACATTCAAATGCTAACTGCTGTTACTTCACCGATCTCTTCTCCATCTCATCTTCCACTCTCACTTCCCACAATACTGCCAGTTATCCTCCTAAAACTTCAGTGCCAACTTTATACATTTATAAACTAAGAACACTGTCGGGTAGAAAAACATCTTCTAACTATCTTATCAAAAAATGCAAAAAGCCTTCTCCCCATTATGATATCAGCTTAAGAAAAAAAAAAGGGGGGCTGGGGATTTAGCTCAGCGGCAAAGTGCCTGCCTGGCAAGCGCAAGGTCGTGAGTTCGGTTCCCGGCACCGGAGAAAAACCAAAAAAAAAAAAGAAAGAAAGAAAAACAAAATGAGTACTGGCAGGAAAAGCACTCAGCCCCAGTTCTGTAGAAGCTAACAAGATCCCATCTCAGTTTCACAATTTTAATAGGTCATATAAATGATATTGGTAAATTTAAATTTCCCCAACTAAATTTTCCTATTATTAAACTATAAGTGCAAGAACCTAAGAAATGAATCACTGAAATTGATACTATCGCTTTAACGATATGCTCAGGCTTTAATAATCATAACTGCTATGGTTTGGATCTTGAATGTCCTGAAGGCTCATGTGTTAGAAGTAGCGCCCAGGGAGGCACTACTTGGAGGTGATAGCACCTTCAACAGGCAGGGCTGGAAGGAGGTCTTTAATTGAATGGGGGCATGTCCTTGGAGGGCAGTGTAACCCCAGACCTTTCTGCTTCCTCTTTTTGGCTTCCTGCCCACAACGTGAGAGATTCTACTCTGCCACATGCTCCCCCCAGATGCGCCACCTCACCACAGGGCCAAGGCAGCAAGAGCCATCAGTCACAGCCTGGAGCCACCAAAACCACGAGCCAAGATAAACCTTTCCTCCCTACAAGTTGATTATCTCAAGTATTCTGCTACAGAACTAGGAAGCAAACCAATATAGAAATATAAGGTGTTTCATTATTTAATGCTTAAATTTTCAGAGTTGCGAAGCAAACCAATATAGAAATATAAGGTGTTTCATTATTTAATGCTTAAATTTTCAGAGTTGCGAAGCAAACCAATATAGAAATATAAGGTGTTTCATTATTTAATGCTTAAATTTTCAGAGTTGCATCTATGAAGATCAATATAACTAAAAATATGCTTCTTGTTCGTATAAAACATTCAAATAATATTTTACATTGGACTCAACTTCTACATGCTAGATAGCAGTATTTACATGTGTAAAAATGAAGTGCTGAAAACCACAATACTACTTCACATGTGTTAAGATGGCCATGATCCAAAAAACAGAAAATAACAGTTATAAAATATGTAAAGAAAGTGGAACTCTCATGTACTGATGATACAAATGCAAAACGGCATAGTATTACCATATGACCTAGCAATTCCACTTCTAGTTATACACATAAAGATTGTGAGATGTGCCAGGCATGGTGGTGCATGCCTGTAATCTCAGCATGCAGGAGGCTGAGGCAGGAGAACTGCTGCAAGTTCGAGACCACCTGGCTACAAAGTGAGCTCAAGACCAGCCTGAACTGCATAGCAAGACCTTGTCTCAAAAAGACAAAAAAAGAAAAAAAAAAAAAAAAAAAGATACTGAGAGGATTGGGATATAGCTTGGTGAGGAAAACACGTGTTCAACATGCTCAAGAACCTAGCCTCAACCCCTCAAAAAACCGAAAACAGGAACCTGGACAGAATTTGCAGACCCATGTTCATAGTTGCACGATTCACAATAGTCAAAAAGTAGAAGTAACATGAAAGTCCCGCAACAGATGAATGGGTAACAAAACTTGGTAAAAACAGAGGAAGTACTATACTTCAGCCTGTATTTACTAAAATAGAATAAAATTCTGATTCATGCCATTCCATGCATCAAGAAATAAAACCACATGCAAAAGGACAAGTATTGTATGGTTCCCACTGCAGGAAGTTCCTAGTGTAATCAATACACAGAGAAAGAATGGTGCTTACCAAGGCCTTGGCGGAGGGAGAATTGGGGAATTAGTGTCTGAGTGGCGTAGTTTCAGTTTGAAAGTATGAAAGCATTTTGGAGGTGGGTGGTGGTAACCATACAATATGCATGTACCTGATGCCACTGAACTGAACACTTAAAATAGTTACAATGGTCAATTTTATGATACACATATAGGCCACAAAAAAAGCCATGTAAAATACAAAATTATGCTTTGTTTGTTTGTTTTTACTGCTACAAGTTATAGCTGGGCCTCAGGTACGCTAGACACGCACTCAAACTGCTAAGATCCAGCCCCAGCCCTAGATACTTTTAAGGGGAAAAAAATGCCTCATTTGAAAGCATTAAAAAACGGTTCTCATAGAAAATTAAATATAAATTCTAGTACTTTAGTACTAAAAATTCCTAAGTCAAGTCAGGCATTTTATCCACTCCCAACTCCTACCCCAGAAAATCCAAGGCAACTAATGAGAGGGATTCACTTATATACACATAACTTCATTATCATAAATTATAAGAAGAAAAACAAATTATCAAGGCAAAAGAACTATTAATCTCTTTAATAAATCAAGGGTTACATTAACCATAAAATAATTCTATTATTATGAAGGCAGTATAATTCAAAATAGATTTATAGTTGTAAGTTTAGTTTTTTTATAATATGTAAACATTGAATAACATATTTAATTTTCTTTTTTTTTATGTCTTTTTGAGGCAGGGTCTTGCAATGCAGTTCAGGCTGGCCTGAGCTCACTTTGTAGCCCAGGCTGAACTCCAGCTCGCAACGATCCTCCTGCCTCAGCTGCCTGAGTGCTGGGATTACAGGCGTGTACCACCACACCCGGCTCTAGGAGTAACATATTTAAACTAAGGATTGAATTATTATTTGGGTATATTGGCTCACTTTAAGAAGTTGTAATGAACTGGCCATGGTAGACATATCTGTCATCTCAGCACTGGGGAGGCTAAGACAGGAGGATCACAAGTTTGAACCCAAACTGGACAACTTTCCAAGACCTTGTCTCAAAATAAAAAATAAGGGAAATTCTGTCGTCTCCCAGTCAGAATGGCCATCATCAAGAATACAAAAAACAATATATGCTGGTAAGGATGTAGAGAAAAGGGACACTCTTGTTGAGAATGTAAATTACTGCAGCCAGTATGGAAATCAATACGGAAGTTCCTCAAAAAACTAAAAACAGAACTACCATTTGACGCAAGTACATCCAAAGGAATTAAAGTCAACATACTATAGGGTTACCACATACTCAGATTTGTTGCAGTACAATATATCATGCCTAAGATATGGAACCAGCCTGGGTCTCCATCAATAGATGAATGAATAAAGAAAATGTGCTCCATTAAAAATAAAATTGTCATGTGCAGAAAAATGGATGGATTTGGCAACTATCATGTTGAGTAAAATAAGCCTGGCTCCAAAAGGCAAATATTGCATGTTCTCCCAAATAAGAAGAATCTACAAAAGACGAGAGAAAGTAGAAGGGAGGCTATTATTAGGTAAGAAAGGAAGATTGGGGAGAGGAAAAGGTATGAGATTAGGTAATGCAGGCATGAATATCATCAAAATACACTATACATACTGAACCCCTCCCCAAAAAATGTGAGCCTGGACAGAAGGAGGTGATTAATATATGTATGCACCTGTACCAATCTGCCAAAATGAAACCCATTAATCTATATAACCAATGTGCACTAATAAAAGTTTTTGTAATTAAAAAGACGCAATTGCATACATAATTAATTTACAAGGCTGGGGATACAGCACAATGCAAAGGCCCTGAGTTCAACCCCCTGTACTACTAAAAAAAAAAAAAAAAGTAGTAACAGGTTCCAAAAGGATGTACTAGTTCTTAAATTTGTTCACAGTTCTTACAGATTGACAAGGTTTGACAGCACAGTCCCTTATTCCACACTGGCTGGTATCATTCCAGAAAGGACACGGCCTCTTCAGGTTTACCTATAAAAAGCAGAAAAAAGTTATAAAAGTAATAAACATTTTTTGGTGGGTCTTTTTGGTTTGTTTTTTTTTTTTTTTTGGTTTTTGAGACAAGGTTTCACTATGTAGTCCAAGTTAGCTCTGAACTCACTATCTAGCTCAAAATGGTGTCAAATTATCAATCCTCCTGTCTCAGCCTCTTGAGTGCTGGGATAATGTAACATGCTTCCTCAGGCCTGGTTAGCCCAAGATTATAACTGATAGCTGTTGAATTATGATGCTATAACCTGGTTATGTTACATGTTGTAATTACCCTACTTCTTCCTGCTGCCAGGTTTCACTGACTGTGCTGTATAACTGTGTAGCCAGTAGAGAAAAATAGGTGGATTTTGCTAGAAAGACACAGACTGCCACAAAACAGACCCCGGACTAGGTAACTCGTAGCCAAAGTCACCCATATCATCACTGCTCAATTTGCATTTTCTGAGGCAAGGAATAGCTACCAGATAGAGTCCAGTTAGGAAGTATAAACTCAGAACACAAATAAATCTCCCAATGGTCACGTTTTCCAGTAGTTATCTCAAGATAACATACCACAAGTGATTTGTCAAAATAATACAGGCCAGAATAACCATGCTTAAAAATTTTAATTATTTCAATTAATTTGATCCACTCTGATATTTGAGAAAATTATGAACTCACTATTTTGATTACAGTATAATAGTTTCTGTTCTAATTTCATCAGCCAGCTAGATTTTAACGGTAGAGAACGACACCATTAATGAAATTAAATGTACCCAATGTGCGGTTTCAGAAACAAATGGTCGCCGGGGCAGTGGTGAGCACAGCCGCCTTCCAGAAACACAAGGTTCACTCTCAGGAAGTGAATCTTCCTAATAAAGCCTCTATCAATTTTAAATCATAACTGCAATTTTGAAGCTTAGTAATCCTTAAGAAAATGCCATTACTCATTTGAAGAATTCATATACAAAATTTAAAATACCTTATAATATCTAAAGTAGTCACTTTCAAGAAGTTTTTGTAGTCTTGGGAAAAGTTTGTAGTTATTAAATCTATCGATGGTTTCAACGTCACAGGTACAATCATCCAAGTAACCAGTAACCTGTTGCAAAGAAAGGGAAATGTTACATTAAAATGTCCTAGGTGCTTTTTCCAAATGTGATTTTTATAAACAAGCCACTGTTGGACCATTAATCCTCCCTCCCCATTATAATGTCCTAAAATGGGGCTTGACAATAACCTGATAATACTATTGCTCTTTTACTATATCCCTAGAATTCAGTACATACTTTTCCTTTCTTTCTTTCTCTTTAGAGATAGGGTCTCCTTAAGTTGCCCAGGCCAGCCTTGGACCTGCACTCCTCCAGCATTAGCCTCCCAAGTAGCTGGGATTACAAGTGTGCACTCCTGCTCCCGGGCAGCAGATAATTTCACAGGGTGTGCTGAGTCATAAAACACATGCACGCACGCACACACGCACGCACGCACGCACGCATCCGATAACCCTTCCTTCCAGGGCCCACTGACCTGACCAAAGACAGGCAGTGCCACTAAGAGGGAGAGCACTATCTCCCTGTGGTTGGACCAGTAAACTAGGAAACTCGTATTCCATCATGTGAGCTGACAAGCACAGGAGCCAGCTGGCAGAGAGAGGAAAGATTTTAAACAATAAGCAAAGAAGCTGAGACAGGAGACAGAGAGCAGATGCTACTTAGATTTCCTCGAGGTTTCCAGCTCCCACTTCTCATTTTTCCTGAAGCCCAGCTACGCTGCCATCCCTGGTTTTCCTAACCTGTATTCTTATACCTGTTTTTTTCAGGCTGTCCTTATTATTTTCTAAAAAATGTGTAAGTGGGAGACAAGCTTGGTGCATGCCTAAGTAGAAGAAATACTGAATTTATAAAAGAAACAATAATTCATTACAAAGACATAATAACCCCCAAATATCGGGCCATAACATTTTCTTACAGGTTTAGGATGGTCCTGAAAGTTATTTATCATTAGCAACAGTGAGATAACAAACTAACCACAAAACGAATCCTAATCTTTCAAGTGCTTTACACTAATGGCTGTACCCATTTGCCAGATCCAACTATTAAATGTACCTATGCTAGGGTACAATAGGAAGTTACTTTATAATTGATGTTATCAGTTGTGAAACTAAAATTATTACCTGTTTATTTTAGGTTAAACACCTATTAAATGTAATGAAACACTGCTTTAAGTAACAAATACCTGATTCCCCAAAATCCTACAAATTGAAAACAAAAAAAAAAACAAAGCAGCATGCTTCCGAAAGCAGATCCTTCAGAGTACTCTGTCTGAATATCTGTGCTATAAACTATCAGAGTACACTTCAAGGAGACTTTTATGGCCTATAAAACCAAAATTTAAAAATCTACTTGAAATTTAAAAATCTACTTCAAGCAAATGAACAACTAAATTAAGATGCTTCCCCCTTGAAATATGTAAAATACATTATCTTTAAATTGGGAAACATTGCAAAACAATACTGGAAATTTTTCACCTCTGAGGTTAGAATATTTTGGATGATAACAGCCATATTCAAGAGCTAAGGCTTGTGGCCGGGGATATAGCTCAGCTCGCCAAGCACAAAGTCCTAAGTTTGATTCCCAATCCAAAAAAAGGAAAGAAAAAAAAAAGAGCTAAGGCTTTTTAACAATTTTGTCTTACTTGCTTTGGACTAACTCCATTTTTAGAAATCTGATTTATATATTTTGATATGTAATAGTTTTCTATTCCTATACAAATGTCCTTGTTTCCTACTAAAACTTTTTGTATTTAACTTTGTAAAAATGTTAGTACTGTTTGCAGTCCATGCAGTTATATAAGCATCTTGGCGAGTGCTACATGTACACAATACAGCTTGTTTTTAAAGCCCCTTCCCCTTCCTTTCTTCCTCTTCCTCCTCTAATTCTCTTATCCCAGAAATTGTTAATATTATTAATCTTAGCTCATGTTACGGCATATCATGTTTACATTCATAGAGGTTATTAGGTCCCTGTACATGGCACATCTTTATTCTACTTATTTTCCCTTCCCCTCCTTGTTCCCTTGGGCGGCTTTCCTATTGCAAGAGATCTGTCCCCTTGTCCCCTCTATCCATTCTTTATTATTCTCTCTGTATGCTGCCTCACTCAAATGAGAGATACCAAATGGTATTTAAGTTTATGTGTCTGGTTTATTTCACTCAATATTGTATTTTCCAGGTATTTCTATTTTCCCACACATCTCAAATTTGCTAGCCTTTATCGCTGAGTAGTACTCCATTACATATAAATGTCACATTTTCTTTAGCCAACTGTCTATTCATGGGTACACAGGCTGCTTGCAGGATTTAGCTATTATGAATAGTGCTACTCTAAACATGAGTACGCATGTATCACTGTAGTATGATGTCTTAAGCCCTAGTGGGGGACAGCTGGATCATATGGAATTTCTAATTTCAGTTCTTCGAGAAATCTTCATATTGACATCCATAAGAATTGCCTAATAAAACTAATAATACTTCTAAATACACAGTAATCTTAGAGTCTCGGTGTGTGGCGGGTGTGGGGGTAGTACTGGGAACCGCATTGCCTCACACATTCTGACCAGTATTCTGCCACTGAGCACCCTCTCCACCCCAGTGAATCCTAACTTTGGACGCAACAAAACTATTAACCGAGACGATTTGATTTTTCACATGTCTAAGGACAAACAATTTTGAAGAGCAAAATCTCTCTCCTCTTTGACACAATTATTACACAGTGGACCTCTGACTTAGGAACTCAATCCATTCCCAAGGGCCACACAACTTGTAAATCAGGTTGCCAGCAGAAGGCTCAGGCTCCTCTCCACAAAGTCTCTCTCCTGTGTACAAGCAGCTCAGTGTCCTTAGAGACATGCTGGCCCAGGGTTTCTCAATGAGCCCCTCACAGGAAAGGATGTGGTAATGTCCTTCCAGAGCTCCTTAATGGTTAAACCTGCATCTAAGACCATCTGGAAGCACAAGTGGCCAGCATTCAGGTCGTAACTCAAGACTGGACGTAAGTTAAAACTAAAAGTCTGGTGGGAACCCAAGTTGTTCTTATGTGTGGCCAGTCGTAACCTGAGGGTCCACCGTACAAAGAAAAACAGATAAAGATCACCAAGGCCAACAGGACGCAAGGAAAGCAGAGATACTGAGTTAGAAAAGGAAACAAACAAGAAAAACTTGAGTTCCCCTCCTAAGGAATTCACTGTCCAAGTAAAAATATATCTTCAAGACTACTGCACGTCACAGCTGAGCTGTCTCAGGAGCTCCTCCCCACTCCGAGGGTGGCTGCCTCTCTCCTGCGTGTTCCCAGCACACTCGGCTCACGCTGTGGTGTAAGCACTACCTCCCTGTGCCGAATTTACCTGCTGCACTCCTGCCCACCAGTGTGAAAAAATGAGGCCAATCGTATTTGCTCATCCTTGTGCTCTCAGGACTCAGCACTGTGCTTCTGAAACGTGCACAGGAGCTGCTCAGTAATCACTGATGGAACAGGAAAGTAAAGGAATGAATGCTGCGCACTGTCACTCCTCACTACAGACCAGTGCCACACTAATTATAATCTGTGTACCACCCTGTCACCTCTGACAGTGCTGTGTCCCAGAGCACACAGGGCGCGTGGCAGGAACATCCCCACACAGCAAGAAAAGCAGGCAGCAAAGATGAACACGCTTTGCACTCAACACTCTCCCTATCTATGTCCTAAAGACAAAGGAAGCTGGCTGGAAGCAGCCCCAAACCAGAAAGGATACAGGATCCCTCAAGAGCAGGGTGGCAAGTAGCCAAGAGACTTGAGAGGGAAAGAAGGCAGGACCAACAGTGGCTTTTAAATCCTCTGCCCCTTTCCCCAGGTGTGAACCACGGGTAGAGGGCAGCTAAGACAGAAAAATAAAGAGTGTAGGGGTCTCATTAGATGGAAAGAGACCACAAAACAAAACCAAAAACGAGAAGACCCTTGGAAATGCAGGCCATCTAACAGCTGAGGTGAACTGGCCAAGAGGCAGCAGGACCTGACCCCTGCAAGTCTGGCAGGTATGACGCCAGGATAGTTCTAGAAACTGAAGAACAGAGCACACAACAAAATAGAGTCACAGCAAAAGGCTCAGATACAAGTTAAGAGAACTAGGACAGAACCTCGGAAACAAAGCAAAATTCTATTCCCCAAACAAAGACCAGAAGACAGGTTCCAGGCTGGAACAAGGGTAGCTTGAGGCTGTGCTTCAGAGTGTGTGAGGGCTGCTCAAGTAACTACTGCGCAATCTTCTGGCCCTACCCTAGGAATCTGAATTTTTTAAAAATGCATTTCCTACCCCTCTACGGGATGCTAGAAATTGAAGTTCACTGCTCTATACTTCAGGCAGTCATCAACCTTGGGAAGGAGGAGGTCAAACTAATACGTGGAGATAAAAAAAGGCCCCAGTTGAGAGATATGAATGTAAGGACCAGGGAATGCCTGACATGTGGCATCACCCCAATTTCAAGTCTTAGCCTCCTAAGAGCTAGAAAGCCTCCCGAGGCCTGCTGTAACATCCCCAGGAACACAGCAACCCCCAGCAGTAGACAACTCTTAAGGAAGACCAAATGCAGACCGATGGTTCACACACAGGCTCTGGAGTCAGACAGTCTTAATCCCATTCCTGCAACATATTATTTTGTTGGTCTGTTTGGGTTTTGTTTATTTTTTTTTATCTTATCCACGGTATTTAGTGTCTCTAGGCCTCAGCTTCATATCTTACTACAAAAGAAGAGTAATTCCCATCACATGGATTTGATACCGGCATAAACAATACAGAGTAAAAGCTCAGTAAATGCTAATCATTATGGCCACTCTACCTCTCCTTCCATGCTTCCAGTGACAGGAACCTTGCCACTCTCCAAAGCAACCCACAACACGGGCTTAGTGAGTAAGAAAAAAGCCAACCTTGCAGTTAAATTTTTCTACAACTTTGACATCCACTGCCCCAATGGACTAAAGCAATAGACAGTGAAAACTTAGCAGTAGATGGAAACAATTAGCTTCCCATTGACTGAGTGAAATGGACAAATGCAAAAAGAGAAAAGAAAATTACCCTGGACCACTTGTTCACTACTCTCCAGTGAGAGATGGTCTTTAATGAGCAATGAAGGGCTCGGGACGCAGCTCAGCAGCACAAGTGCCTGCCTGGCAAGCACGGGGTCCTGAGTTCAATTCCTGATACCAAAAAGAAAAAAAAAACCAAAAAAAGAGCAATGGAAGACCTGTGTCCATATCAACAAATTCTAGCCCTATGACAGATTATTTTGTCACTCAAAATACTGTAAGCCTACACTTTTTGTGTTCATCTTCTATGAAATGCCCTTTTAAAGTATTCAAAGTGTCAATTAGGTGAGACAAACAAATGGCACCCAAATTGAAAAGGAAGAAGTAAAGTTGTCTGTTTACAGATGATGCAATCTTATTCAGTACATAGAAAACATTAAAGATTCCACCAAAAAAAACCTGTTAAAACTAATAAAGTTGCAGGATACAAAAATCAACATACAAAAATCAATTGCACTTCTATAAAATAACAACAAATATCTAAAATAGAAATAAAAAAAAAATTTCCATTTACAAGAGCACCAAAAACAAGGAAATACTTTGGAAGACATACAACCAAGAAGGTGAAAGATCAGTTAAATGAAAATTATATGACTCTGATGAAAGAAACTGAAGACACAAATAAATGAAAGCTATCCCATGTGCATGAATTTAAGAATATTATGAAAATGCCACAGTATATAAAGCAATCTACAGATTCAATATAATCCCTATGAATTCCAGCGACATTTGGCACCTTATAGGAAAAACTCTAAGGCTCGTATGGAAGCATAAAAGATCCACAAATAGCTATTGTAATCTTGAGCACAAAGCATAGACCTGGAATCAGTATACTTTCTAGTTTCAAATTATATTACAAAGCTATAATAATAAAACAATATGGTACCAGTATTAAAACAGAGACACAAAAACTGTTTGAATAATTAGACCTTTAAAAAAATAAAATAAAATTCAATAGAGACACAGACCAATGGAACAGCATAAAGAACACAGAAATAAACAGGGATATATAATTTTTGATAAAGGCATCCAGAACACACCATGGGGAAAGAAGAGTCTCTTCAACATGGTGTTGGAAAAAAATGAATATGCACAAGTGAACTATATATATACACACCCTATCTATATATAATGTTGGACTTGTATTTTATACCATACACACAAATCAACTTGCAATAGATTAGAAGCTTAAACCTAATACTGAGCCATAAAACTCCTAGAAGAAAACAGGGAAAAAGCTCACTCTCGTTGGTCTTAGAAATGACCTTTTGCATATGACACTAAAAGCACAGGCAACAAAAGCAAACCTGTACAAGTGGGACTACATCAAATTAAAATGTTTATGCACAGCAAAATAAAATAAAATAAAATGAAAAGACAACCTACACACGAGAGAAAATATTTACAAGCCATCTACTGGATAAAGGATTAACGTCCATAAGGTTGACTGATTGTGTCAACAGGAGAAGTTTCGAAGTTTAACTATACTGGCTCAGCAATTCCACACCCTGGGGTGTAGAAGACCTGCCACCTGCCTCAGGGCAGCTCATTTACACCCTTGGATGCAGAGGACCTAGACAGTATAAAAGGGGGATAAGGAAGGACAGATGTGCCTCTATTTCTTCAGAAGAGCTCCAGTCTTCACCTTCAGCTTGGTCATTGTCTCCTGGCGTCCAGTGCAGACTCTTCAGCTACATTATCCTTCAGCCTCTGAGCACAGATTTTTCAGCCTTCTGGTATAGATTCTTCAGCATTCCATCGCAGACCCATTAGCCTCTTCATACGGACTGGCATGGCACACTGCAGTGAATTCCAGACCTCGGGCTGAACCCTTTGGTCTCCGGTGTGCAGACACGCTCTGCACGCTTCTGCATCCAACTCTGTGGGTGACCATTGTAAACCGATCTTGTAATTTCCTATGCATATCTATATCTTCTGTTATATCTATTTCTCTAGTAAAATACTGACTGATACAATATGCAAAATATATTAAGAAACTCATACAACTCAAAAAAAAAAACATGGAAGACATACAAAGGCATTCAGTATCAGTAATCAGCATGTAAATTCTAATCAAAACTACAATGAAACATCACCTCACACCTGTCACACCTGTGGTTATTATCAAAAAGTCAACAAACAAAAATAGCAAAGAGTTGGTGAGGGTGCAGAGAAAAGGAATCCTGCCTTTTACACTGCAGGTAGGAATATTGCTTGGTACGGCTACTATGGGAAACACTATGGTGTTTCCTAAAACAAAACAAAAGGAACCTATCAAAGGATCCTGCAGTCTGACTTCTGGGTATATTTCCACAGGAAATAAAGTCACTAGCTCAAAGACACATCTGTACCCCCAAGTTCATTCCACCATCACACACCATCACTAAGCTATGGATGCAAAGTATCTATCAAGGGGTAAAGAATATATGATCCACATACCACATAATGCAATATTATTTTACCTTAAAAAAAAAGAAAGAAAATGTTGCTGTTTGTGATAACCTGGAAGAATCTGGAGGACATTATGCTAAGTGATATAAGCTAGACATAGACAGTACTGCATGATTTCACTTATATATATAATCTAAAAAAAAAAAAAAAAACCAAAATTACAGAAACACAGAGCAGAAAGGCGACTACCAAGGATTAGAAGGAGAAAACGTGAGATGTTATGAGATAAATAAGTTCTGGAGACTTAATGTACAGTATGATGACTATACAAGATCAGATGACATGTACTTGAAATTTGCTAAAAAAAAGTCCACGGTCATACCACTCTGAACGCGCCCAATCTCGTCTGAAATTTGCTAAAAAAAAAAACAGATTTTAGGTATCTTTGCCACACACATGCACAAAAGAGTAACTACGGCAGATATGTTAATTACCTTTATTAAGGAGTCATCTCCCAAAGTATAAGTATATCAAAACATCATATTGAATACCTTGAGTATACACAATTTTGTTCTTCAACAACACTTCAATAGAGGGAAGGAAAGATAAATCCATAAATGAATGTGCTGAAAGTATGCATTATTTGGCAAAGAATTTTGGATATATTTAATTTTCTTGACTTTTGTAACCATAAAAATTTTTTAAATAAATATTGTTTTGTATATTTAAGGTCAACAACACATTACAAGATACACAATAAAATAAAAAAGATACTAGTGGGACAAATTAACATATCCATCATCTCACAGAGATACCCACCTTTTATTTCTCTACCACCACAGCAAGAGCAGCTATCACCTACTCATTTAGCAAAAATTTTATTTTATTTTATTTTATTTTATTTTTTTATTTTTTGTCTTTTTGAGACAGGGTCTCGCTATGCAGTTCAGGCTGGCCTTGAGCTCATTTTGTAGCCCAGGCTGGTCTCAAACTTGCAAAAATCCTCCTGCCTCAGCCTCCCGAATGCTGGTATTACAGGCATGCACCATCACGCCAGGCTTGACAAAAATCTTAAATACAATATACAATCATTAACCATAGTCTTCATGTTGTATATTAGACCTTTAAATATCTGTCCATAAATGTATAAGGAAAATCTCTCTCCCTCTCTCTCTCTCTCTCTCTCTCTCCCTCTCACACACACACACACACACACATACACCCATGAAATTTGCCATAATATATATGGACTTGCAGGACATTATGCTAGGTGAGATAAACCAGACTTGGAAAGAATATTGCATGATCTCGCTTATTTGTGGAATGGCAGGGTGAAAGAGCCCTGAATGACAGATTAAACTGAACAGTGGTTGCTATGGTGAAAGGAGGAGGAAATGTGGAGATGGAGATTGAAAGACAGAAAATAGCAGATCTGCAGGAAGAAGGGCATGAAAATGATTCATTTGTTGACGGGCACTGCCCAACTCTGTCAATAAATGTTGAGAAATGCCAAAGATTTCACACCAGGCAGTAAGATGCGGATATATCACTGCTTTATAGTCTTAAGTGTTACTCTACTGTCAAACTACTAGAAGGCTAGCAACCATCGTGAAAATATTTTTTCACACACTTTATTCAGAAAACCTGGGATGGAGCCAGCACTCAGGGCCAATGGACACCTGTCCAGTGTAACCTGCTCCAAAAATCTGACAAGGCTTTAATCCCAGACTCCTCCCCACCCACCACCCAACACATTATCGAGCGTCTCTTGTGGCCCAGCCACTCAGGCTAACAAAACCATTTTTAAAATTGACCTAACAAGACATTTGACTATGTCTACCATGCACTTCAAACTAAAATAACCTGTTTTTGGAGTAGCCGTGATAGAGATCTGAGCTATTATCCTTTACTGAGCCTGATGGACATCCGTCACTCGCAGCTGACTCTGAGCATTATTATGGAGCCCTGGCTATATTAAAATGGGCAAGACACTGAGTGCATAGGAATTTACACTTGTTTTTAATTAATTTATTCTCTCTCATTTGGTTTTTTGGCGGGAGGGTGCCGGGAAGCAAACTCAGGACCTTGCGCTTGCCAGGGAGGCCCTTATGCCTGAGCTATATCTCCGGTCCGTTTTTAATTAGTTTAAATGCAAAGGCTGTCCATATTTCCTACTTATCTAGGCTTCACTATTCTAAGGTTATTTCTTTAAAACACATCCTATGAATCTATAAATTAGGACAAAATCCTATCATATACATTTCTCTTAAATCATCCTGGGGCAGCAACTGTCAAAAATAAATGCTAAACTGTGAAAAGCTTTCATTTGCTTGAAGTCCATACATAATACAACAAATACTACAGATATTGCTTTGGTTTAGAGGAAGAACAAGTCCAGCTGTTTATATAAACTACATATGTATAAGCTTCATAGATATACACTTCAATGGGGACAAGAGGGAGTATTTTATGTAAAAAAGAAAGTTCAAGCATTTTTAAGTAATTTTCTTGGTTCATTTTATTATACACAATGATCATCATAGGGAATTTGTACCTATATATGATATATCTTAGTTATTCTTTTTTTCCTATTCCCCCATCCTCCCTTCAACCCCTCTTCCCCAGCTTAATTTACAAAACCTTTGTTTTCATTTTCTTCTTTTCTCATTTTTTTCTTTTCCCTTCCTTCCTTTACCCCCTCCCCCTCCCCAGTTCCCCTTCCCATGTGAGTACTGTCTTCCTATTTCACAGTATCTAGCATACATTCTGGTCCTGAATGTATGAGTGTAGTCTCAAGATGCATCCATTTACCTAGAAATGGTTCAAGTTTATCCTTCTTTATAGCTGAGTAGTATTCCACTGTATTAAAAAAAAAGGACATAAAAGCAGAATGATTTAAAAAAAAAAAAAAAAAAAGGAAGAAAGAGCTGTATATAAATAAGATTTAAAAGTTCCAGGAAAGTAAGAACTTTCTTTGAGCTACTAACACTGAAGCATTATTATCAAAAGAACTTACAACACACAGTGAAAATGGGGTTAGTAATGTCAACTAACAGGCATATGTAGTAAGTGACTAAGTTCAAAGACTCACTTGGAGTTGTTAACCAACCCATCTGAAAAATGCAACCCCTCAGTTTACCGTTTCTTTCTTTTAACTTTTCTTTCCTGCTTTTCTTCCTTCCTTCTTTCTGAAATGAAGTCTTGCTAAATTGCCTAAGCTGGCCATGAACCTGCAATCCTGCCTCAGCCTCCTAAATAGCCAGGATTACAGTGTGCAGCACCATGCCTGTCTTAAGGTGCCCAGGCTGGGTAAACTTATGACCCTCCTGCTTCAGCCTTCCAGAGTGCTGAGGTTATAAACTACTTCACTATTCTTAAAGTTCACACTAACAAACAGGGAGCCACTCTTGTTCTGAAGGGACAAAAAGGAGCCTAACACATTTTTGTGTTGGAGGATATTTAGATCTAATGATAGTGTGAAAGTGAGAAAGCTCTATCTCTAATCCAGAAAAAAACGCAAGTAAAAAAATTAAAAGTTGTCCCGTTTTAAACAATTCTCTAAAAAGATTTACTGGGTAGAAAAGTAGAAACTGAAGAGTTAAACAGTACTTTTATCCCACTGTCCAAATCTCCCAGATGTAGTTGAGAATGTTACACTGGACGCCTTCTTTCACTACTGAGTATCTTAAAATCACTTATTTCTATCTTAGGTATTTTTTACATGTTTGAATTCTCTGCATGCAGTATTTGTAATCAGAAGCAAAATAATCTCTTTCCATCTAAGTACCTGGTTGTAATCCCGGAAGGTAAAGGAGCTTCCCAATGTCTCAGCTGTAAAGCAACAATCTTCTCTCAGGCAGTTTTATAGGTTCCCAGACAGCATCACCTCAACTCCCAAATCCATGAGCAAAACAACAAAACTCACAGGCAGGACATGGAATCTAGACCCTTGTCTATCACCAGGTAGTAAATTAAAATCAAAACAGATCAAAGATCTAAATGTTAAAACAGAAAGAGTGTGCTGGAAGACAAAATAGATACAGGCAAGGACTTTCGGAAAAAAGAACCTCAAGGGCACAAGAAACAATACTAAGAACAGCAAATGGGCTCTTATCAATTCAACAGTTAATTAAACAGTTAATTAAACAGTTTTTCCAAAGCGAAGGAAACAACCAACAGGGTAAGGAGACAGTGTACAGAATGGGAAAAAAATCTGCCAGCTATTCTCAAGAGAGAGGACTCCTACCTAGAAGTAAAAGATTCAAAAGAAAATTAGACCCCTCT